TAAGTAACTAATTAGTTAATTATTAATTAATAATAATATAGTAGTTAGTTAAGTTATAACTACACTATTTATTTTATTATAATAATTAATTAAATAATAATATATATATATATATATATATATATATATATATATACACACACACACACATTAATTAAATTTATTTCCTTCAGGTTTTTAATTACTAATAGTTTATCTAGTTTTTAGGTTACTACATTTATAACCTTTTAGCATACAAAGGTCTAAAGTGAAAAATGCTGAGTTTATATTCTTGGAAAAACTGTGGTCCAAAACATTCCAAGTAGTTCAGAAGCATATTTAATACATTCACCCATGTGAGTAGATACATGAATGAAGACTTTTACAGATTCAACACAATTACTGAATTTCTTCATTAATATTAATAAAACTTGATGATCTTGAAAATGCCCTAGATAAAGCCATATGGGTTTTACATAATAATACTTCTCACCCTTGTCATGATTTGCAACCATTTCTCCTTACACTGCACACCAGTGTATGAACCAAAGCACACCTTGTCCCAGTCCAGTTTCTCCACGAGTGTATTATACCTCACAGTGTCTATTTTGGGCAAGCAGGTTGCTAAGTTGTTAATCAAATGACTAAGATCCTCTGATGTCCAATCAAATGCAACACCTAGAAAGGAGGTTACAAATTATATTATGAAATATGTCTATTATATCACATATTAATCTGCAATACTCATCTTTGTCCATTTACTGGACAAGATAAGAAATGTTTTCGTGTAACACAACCACTTCTTTATAGATTCAATTCTACAAACATTATCCACTCAGTTAGTCAAATGGTAATTTTTGATTTAAGTAATTTTTAAAATCATAAAATATGGTATCTCTCTGTTTTATAATTTCTGTGATTACCCATCCAATTTCCATTGTATACTTCTCTCATGTATTGATTGTCTAGGTTTGGTTATTAATATTTATTTTATTTTCTTTTACTTCAGGAATTATCTCCTCTAATTCCTTATAATGAAAAATAATACTATAATTCTACACACAAGACTAATACATAATTTTACACAGAAATTGTTAGCACTTAATTTTGTTATAAATGTTAAGGGTAGTTTACCACTTCGATTACTCTGATTTTCTTTATTAGCCTGAAGACTTGCTTCTTCTTTAATTGTCTCAGGCTCCTTTGTTTTTTTGTTGTTCTTTGCAGCTGTAGATGCTAAATTGAGATATGAAAAAAAATAAAATATATAAACTGAATCTTACATTACAACATGAGACTGAAAACACTGTCTTTGCACATACTTTCTTTTGACACAAATTACATAAAAGCATTATATATAATAATTTGGTTTAATAGTTGTATGCATATCATAATGCCAAACTTCAAAAATCCCACTAATTAGTCAAAAATGCACAGAAAGTTTACACCATTCAAATTTTGATTTTTCTAACCCTAAAAGCCCAATACTTAACTTCTGTTACACAAAGATAACAAAGAGAGAGTTCATAGAATTATTTAAAAAATAAATCTATTATTCAT